CCCCCCCCCCCCCCCAAGAACACCTGGTCGCAGATTAGTTTTAACTAGAATGTCCTTAAAGTGATCGTCGAATCACTCACATTAATTATTGAAATAGCAAACTTAACCCTTTAAGTACGTGGGAATGCGCCCAACTTTAGTATTTTACTCTGTCTAATGCCAGACGATTTCACTCATCAAATGGAGAGTGCTGCCACTCAATGGGTTAAGCAACGCTTATTCTAGATGGGGATGTCACAGAAAAATACCTGCCCTCGTCTCGAAAGCAATTTCAATTTGTTTTTCTTTCCTTATGGTGTACAAACTGTACAGGAATTTTTCTGTACATTTCATGTAGTTGCAGGAATTTTTTCTTCCCACATACTGGCATGATTTTCTTTTCAAATTCCACTCTGCATGATTTTTTTAGGATCTGTCACCACACCCCCTCTCCTTACCTTCCAGGATATCTAATGGTGTCCACCCCTAAGGACATGATATTGTCATAATAGTAAATCATACCTCATAGACGCTTTGACTTTGCAGAGTTATCTCATTGATTATACTGGCATAAATGCAGATGTTTCCAGTTTCTTAACAGATTTTTCTTTTTCTAGATGTTATTGCCGCGAGGCCTCAACAGATGGACGCAATGTTCACGTCATGTACATCGACTATGGCAATACAGAATGGTTAACACGAGAGAAAACTTTCCAGTTAAGCCATATCTTCTTTGAGCTCCGTCCTCAGGGCGTCCTTGTTAAATTATCAGGTATTAAACTAACTTTATTTATACTGAACACATGTAGTTTTATCACACTGTAAAATACTCTGGCCAAATTTTCTTCGTTAACCGAAAAATAAATTGCTGTTACATTTCTTGGTTATTTTGTGTGGATGGGTTTTTAATATTATTTTGGAGGGCCAGGAGGGGGCAGAAGTGATGCTATTTTGAAAAGGAAACCATTCTAGAACTATCCAAGTTTGTTTTTTCCTGTTTCGAACTAAGAGATAAATGCCTTGAAACCATGGATGCTGAACACTTAAGTTCAATATTGTCGTATTTGACCTCTATCTTGTAAATAGCTTCTTTACCTTATTGTAATGTTGTTATAGGTCATATTTGGCCTATAGTATAGTTACCTTTAAGAGGAGATTTTTTATGTTACGTAACACGCGCTCAAAACTAATGCGTATAATATACCACTTGACTCTTGAGGTTATGACTAAATTCAAAATTTTTATTTTTCGATACGTTTCTCAATCGGCAAACAAACTTAAAAAGTATGTTTAGTGCTTTATCTGTAAAATATTACTAAAATGAAGAGATTTTAGATGATACGCCAAAGAGAAAATGATGTCTGAAGTTCAGTAAGTTTTGCTTATATGGTTGTAAATATGGCGTCAATTTTAAAGCATCATTGATAATTGTATTTTAATTGACAATTTTTAACTATTATTTGATGTTTCTCAACTGGCAGATGCATTTAAAAAGGTAGCTAACTGTATAAACTAGAGAATAAAGTTAAAACAAAGTAATTTTGAGAGGAACGCCAAAAAGATTTTAGGTTTTGAACACTTTTCATTGCAAATACG